GAAACGTTACTCAATTAATATTTTTTTATAGACATTAATTATAAATATTATAAAAAGCTTTGATTGCCAGTAGCTTTGTAGCTTGATCTGTACTACTAAATTTTATGTTGTCCTGAAATAGCACGAGATTCTAAAATAAATACACGCTGCTGTGCATGAGACGTCAAATTCATCAATCGCCTTTACATTTAATATCTAACTATAATGTATATGCCGCACTAGAGACAAACAACCTATCAAATTCAGTGGCGTGCGGTCCAGCAAGCGCAGGCATGCGCCGCTTGCCCTAACATTGAGATTTCAACAAAATATTTGGAGATAATTTTGAAATCAACAATTCTAGATCTTTACTAATAAAACAGATTAAAAACATTGTTTATTACAGCGCCTATTCCAGCTCGAATATGTAATGTAGCACCTATCAATACGAACTCGAGGTTTCAAATAGCGTTGTAGTAATTTAATGTGGTGCTAGAAAAGTCCGATGGCGTGCTTAGAATAGACGAGTACGTAAATGACGAGTACCATCTCGATCCAGAAAGAACTTTTGACTTGTTTGCAAGGAAAAGCAGAGTTTTATGACAATGTTATAATTTATAAAGGAGTTTTGCGCGAAGGAACTATGGAATTTACATTTAAATAGTTTTACTAACTTTTTTATATACATTTTTTCATAACGCTTATGATGTAGTCATGTAAACTGAGTAAATATGTGAAATATATATAATATATTTATACCCGTAATTAACAGACATTTCATGATTTATAATTTTTAAAGAAATTTTTTGCCTCATGTATTTACTATATTTTAGTAGTGATTTTGGTCATTTTACCACAGGTGAAACACACACCAATTCTTTGTCATTTGTTCCCGAAATCGCCGTAAATGCCATCCCAGGGCTTTACAATTTCAAAAATGTTCTGGGGGGACATGACCTCCCAGACCCCCTAAAAGGGTTCGCGGCTTCGCCGCAAACACCGCTTGCCTACCCTACTTGTTCACCGTACGCCACTGCTATCAATATATCAGGAAACTTTAAAATGCTTAGAAAATCTCAAAAGGTATAACAGTAATGATATGCCTGTGTGCCTTTGTGCCAGGGACGCCGGAGCGAGGGCAGGGCACAGGGGGGGGGGGGAATGTTGACGTAAGGGTAATCAATAATTAATATTTCGTTTCAAAAAAATTTTTCCAGAACCCTAATTCACCAAACTGACAAGGGCAAAACACTTTGAAACTTAACATAATTTTTGACAGAATATTCCAGAAAATTTCACGTATATTTCAATATTACGTCCATTTCCCCTGTAATTAATACTTTTTAATCGCTGTACCTCATATTTTCGGGTTAGAATTTTTTCTAAGGGAGTTTTCGCCCCCCCCCCCTTCCCTCCTTACTAAAGGGCAAGGGGGGGGGGGG